TAGATCTAGCTTTCAAAATTGTCATTTTTGCTAGCTGAAGCTTGATCATTTTAGCGCGACTAGTGAGTAGATTTTGAATAGCAGCAAAAGTTATTCGAGTAATGCAAGAATTGAGATCTGAATTTCCTACAATAAAATGAATATTTCTCACAACGACAATGAATTTCGCATAGTCTTGCCGCACAAAAAGCCTTCGCATTCGAACTGGAATGATGCTACAACCTCGCCCAGGCCTTATCAGCTACCTCAAGGGGATTGGAAACCGGAGCATGTGTGCTTGTATGTCTAGACCACACAGCCACGATTGCAAAAGTGACTTCTGAGGCAAGCCAGTCCTCTCTAAATGACCATTTTTATTGCGAGATTTGTGCCAATAAGGTAGACTTATATATATATAATTTAGGTTTCAAGAACTTATCTGGTTTGCAATTGATGAGTTCAATTCAATTTCGAGTAAAAGTGTGTAATGAAGAGATTCGAATGTCGGTCTTACCAGAAAATGACGGCGGATTCTTATTCGCCAGCTGTAAAATGGCTTTACCGGAACACTCTTGACGATGCTATTTCCAAGGTAATCTGCTTCAATTACGGTGAAAGCGGACATCCTCAGAGTAGGCCTCCATTCTTACAACAATAAGCAAGCTAACGAGTTAAACAAACTTATATGTGAGAAGTATTCACTCTATTTTCCCACAATGATATGATTATAACTGATATCATTGTGGGAATATTCTACTACCAGCCCTTCATCACCTTAAGCTAAATAGGGTGAATACATCTCATATTACTGATTTACTGGAAGTCTCGAAACTCTATTTAATTACGAAACTTATATATACAATTGAAGTCGACGATATTAATTTATAATTATTCAGTAGATTGTGTAATTGGTTTCACACGACTAGACTTTCATTTTAAGCAAGGGGCTGTTCAGAAGGAATTCTGGAAACGAAGGAGGACTGCTAATATGTCCTTTGTTCACCGACCCTCGTCTCCGATGAATGCTTGCTGAGCTTTTTAGTCTGTCACAGCTAGAGAGCCCTGACGAAAAAGCCCACCAACACATTGAACCAGAAGAATAGGTGACTGGTTGCAAATATACTCACTTATGCTATCTAATTTGGCAACCAACCAAATCATAATGCCTCGTTAAGATTACGAAAGTAGATAAAAGAAGTGAGTATATTTGCAGCCGACCGCCTAGTCCAAAAAAACACCTCGACCCTGTTCATCAAGGTCCCAGGACGATTAACCACAGGCCTCTTCTCACAATCCAGCAGTCATTACTAACACAGCGAAGAGGACAGTTCACGAATTCCCTACAACCAACTTTTCCCTCAAGATGTAGAGTTTACTCACACCAAATATTTAAGAAATTCTTCGAAACCCAGTTTTTCTTTTCACAATCTCAAACGTTCGGTTATGCATAAAGCAAAACGGTCGTCAGAATTCAGAGTTATGATCGTTCTGTGTTAACAGCCTAAGGCATAATATCCCAAGTAAAGATGATTGAATTTTTGGAGGCAAGGCCTCGCAAGGTATTTCAATTATCAATCCTTCATCACATTAGACGACCCCGCTAGGGGTTGCTGGTAGGATCTGGGCGATGTCGAATCAGTAGTCCAATCTGGATCATACTATGCTTTTGGAGGCAAGGCCAAGCGAAATTATATTGTATTCTGAAACTTAGTAATATATTTTTATAAAAAAGAATCGATTATCAGCTCGAAGATATAAAGACCAAGATGGTGTGGCCTTCTGTTTGGTCGCAGTCAGTCCTATCAGTCAGTCTATTATTAGTCCTTAAACCACAGCAATATGATTAAGCGGTTATGCGAGTCAAAGCATTCTACATCATCTTGTAGTCAGTTCTTGCTTCTTGCCAGTGTGATAAAGTACAATGCTTTGGAGAACTGAGATATGAATAAGAATGCCTCGTAAATATGTCTACCTGAACCTTAGGATAGTCTCAAATACTTGCGGAAAAACAGAATTCTGCCGTCGTCTTATGGTGGGTTTGATACACGAATATCATCTTTAGACAGTTTCCCATAGAATCCGAAGCTTCAGTGCTTGCCTGGCATTGGCATCCGGGCCGGACCGCTTCAAAATCACACCAACATTCCCAGCAAGATTTGAAGCAAGGGCGCTGTACTAAGCATGACTTTCAAGGCGAAGCAGTCCTATATGATGGGGAATTTTGAGTTGATAGGCAAACGTTTGTGAGTCAACCTCAGTGATCTATTGCTCGTATGGTGGACAGTACTAATCTTAGAGGCCTACTATTTATTAATATTTATAAATAATATTAATAAAATAGTAATTTTGACGCAAAATTACATTTTTGAATAGGGTCCTTTTGATGAATAGATACAGGATAAATGAAAGGATGGGGAGAAAACGTCCAAAAACACATCTCAATCATGAAAGTAGTTCTTACAACCGCCCTTAAAACTATCAATTCCGATCTCAAGTGTGCGATCCCGTTTCGCCTTCCTCTACACCATCGGAACCCAGTATCTTGGACACCAGTCTTGTATTAACCAACGAATTTGAGGCAGTAACCGACCCTAAAAAGCAAACTTTTAAGAGTGCCACACAGTCACACTTCCTACCACTAAATTGTAAAGAAAGAATAAGAGGCCAAGTGGCTAGTTTTATGTTGGAAGTTCTTCTGATGGACAAAAATACAGAAATTTTCAGAGTTATGCACGAGAAGGGGTGCTAAAAACCGTCAATGGCGGTGAAGGGTATTTGGGGAAGCAACGAACCTCCTCTAAAGTGGGCTTTTGGGAGGCAAAAGGATAAAGCATGAGAGAGCATTCGAGTAGGCGGCTTCATATGCTAATTGATAGGGTTGGCCTGACGACATCGTATTTACTTTCGCTGCTTACCTTTGATGCCTTCTGTTCTTTCTACCTTTAGGGGTATTAAGATGAAAGTGATGGTTTTCGTTCTTCAAGTGAGCATTTGTTTAAGTTTATCGGAAATCTGATATTTGTTAAGGCAAAAGACAGGGTTTTTGCCCAAATTAGCGGGATTCTGACTAGGATTGTTTGGGTCCGGACATAAGGCAAATCATTTTAGTGAATTTGGCGCCTCATATCGGAGGCTTCTTGAAGCAACTGGCCATATTAAGGGTATGATAATAGATAAAAATCACGTAAGAAAGAATTTTATTCAACTATTTCTACCGGGTGGATTAGAGTGTGTTGAATAATATTGTCCTCTGCCAGATTTTATAGTGGATCCTGGGACCAATAATGCGGCTGCCATTCTTATTATATTCTGAGAAATTGGGTTTTCGAAATTATCAGTTACTCTTGACTAAGAGTTCCAGTCACCCTTCGGTCGTATAAAGTGGTGAAGGGCTGATAGTTTAATTTTTCCTCATTGAAGTTTACTTTTACTCGCAGCCTGGTCTCCGTGGCACCTTCTACAATGCCTATTTTGAATGTATGAAAGCGCCTCGATAAAACTTCAGTCACAGATTGAAAGGCTATTAAAACTATCAGTTGATCTTTTATAAGAAATTAAAAAATCCTTTGTTGCCTTAGGTGATAGAAGAAAGGATCATTATATGAATTTATCACAATGAAATATCACATCGAATTCACAATAACATTGCATTTCTCAAAAGGCTGTCTCATCCAGACCGGACAACAATTGCATCATATAATTACATGCGAAGAAAAGTTGGGTTTCAGGGAGTCTCTTGTTTCATAATTGTGATAGTCTTTGGTGAAGAGAAGACCACAGCGGATTCTTCTTGACCAGTTGTCAATTGGCTTTACTGGAACATTCTTTTTGACGCTGTTTCCAAGGTGATTTCCTTCGATTCCGATGAAAACGTGCTAAGCTTTTGTCCGTCATATGACGAGCATCATCAGAACAGGGTATCATCCTTACAAGCAAATTGAAGCTAACGAGTCAAGAAAACTCATTGACTTATTCCTAAATGCTGTATCTATATCTTATATCTAAACTCTTTGATGATGTTATAAAGTCATTTGGTTATTTTAAGTCATATGTCAACCTCGAATCATGTCAGTATGTCTGTCTGTGTGTGTTTGTGTGTCCAAATGTATTCGTATATATACGAAACCAGCAGTGATGGCACAAAGTAATTAGCACAAAAAAAGTAACATCTCTTCTCGGCCATCAAGGTATGATGGTCTCCGTCACCCGATCTGTGTATATATTTTAAGCTTATTTTGGACCAGTTTATGCTTGGCCTGCTACAGACTGAGAGACACTATCCTCCTCTTCGGCATCGTCAGCTCAAGAGATTGCGAATAGCAGATCTATTTGGTGAAAATAAGGACATCATTTGCCACCCTACCGCCTCAAAAGAACTCTGCTCAACGGAGAGGGTTGCTAAGGCAAAGCTCGCCGATATTAGCTTTATCGGGTGAAATCGCGCTCGAGCCGACTCGAATGAAGAAGGACGATGAGACGGAAACGAAATCGAAGGCGATGCAGTCGACGTGAGCAGAGACAGGCACATGCATGCATGCAAGGGTCACGAATGTACCACGTGCTGTACCCGACAGTTTTCCTTAACTTTGGTCTCTAGGCTCTTCTTCTAGTCACCACATTGGTGTTAGACACGGGCAGTTATGTCGTGAACCGGAATGAATTGGCGCCCCGAATGATTGGCAGGTCGACCCTTCGTTCACACCGTCCCTGGCTTCAGTTTCAGGCACACCTGCACACATGTTTGTACATCGAAGGGGAGACATCTCTGTGGTGCAAAGATGATGTGTGGTTTTGGGCTAATTTTCAGCAGTTGTACCCGAATCTGGGTGTGTGTGTGTGTGAGGGTGGGAAGGGGAGGAGGGTGAACGCTCAGTGACGATGTGAATGTGTGTTTTTAAGTGTCCTCGAATTCGTGTTTTCATTCACATGAAAGTGAATGCAATCATGTACATCCGTTTGCTCTTGTGTGTGTGATTTCTTGCATCCACTTATGTCGCATTCGTGTACATTTACGCATTCAGTTATTGCCTGAGCATATGTGATCGGCCGGGCTCGGTCATCGAGCCCACTTGCTCATCTGCCCTGACCGCTCCGCCCAGATCCAGACGCCAACGCTTCCGCGATTCGTAGCTCGCTAACCACACGTTCGCAACCGCTTGTTGACCTTTGAACCAAGGGCTTCGAATGGTCGTGGCGCCGTGAAAAAGGCTTTCTGCTTCATAATTCCGCGCAAAGTCCAACAAACATGGCGGGTTGAGAAAAAAGGGGCATGTGTACCGTTAATCTGCTTGTGCTCTTAGATATACATCAGTTTTTCGGAGCTAGGATTATGTCGAGTGAATATTGTTTTAATACAACAAATAATATGTTCTATTCTCACTGTGTTTGTGTTCTGTTATTTTCTTATTTGTATATACCTACGTTTTTTGGAGCTAATGGCTTCTGTTTAAATACTGAACGCTTGGTTCGAGCCCGGTCCAGAGGGGTTTTCTGCAAATGCCGCATTACTGGCCCCGATTGGCTTGCGGTCTGGTCGCCAAAAGGGAAACTCAAACTACACTTGCCTATGGGATGGGCAAGTAGGCAACCGGAGGCACATTCCAGTTGTCACAAAAACGGGAAAGATACATATTCGTAAAACAACTGAAAAGATATACATGCCCGCATCTTGATTTGTCTGCTTGCCAGAATGGTTGCTCTCCAGATTTGTGTTCCCTTTATGCGCGCCTACCTTGCCCATAGTCGCAAGGGAGCTAGTCCGGAAATGATTGTGGTTAAACAAGTTAGCACAAGTGAAACAGACAAATGTAGAATGACTGCGAACAACCCACTAAACTAACTGAAGGGTCTTGAGATATTTAGCTCTGGTCAACCAGACAGACGGGCCAGCAACGCCAACCGTGAAGGAGTAAGTGGTGGTAGAATAGAAGGGGTGGGTGGGAATAGGGGAGGTGGAGGGGTGGGTGCGCAGGTGTGCCTCGAGTAGGCCGGGGTGGAGTAAAGTATGCGATTGGAGTGGGGAGTGAAAGCCAGACTGGCAGAATGCAGAGGCAGGCAAGACCGCCTGGATGGACTTGTATGATGGGCATGAACGAGGCGGACAGATGGACAGGCAAACAGGCGAACAAGCAGAAGCAGTGACAGACACACGAATGGACATGGCTAGGCATAACTACGGCGGGATGAATGTGCAGGAGAAAAGAAAAGCCGGGTGCCGAGAGTCTGAGATAGTATGGGGAGATCGTAGGAGCGATCTTACGATGTCTGTAATAAAGGGGAAATGTGCCTCCTTTTCTTTAAAACACACGCACACACGCTCACACACAAACATGCATACATACTTGGGCAACAAAGGAAAGGCTCATTTGCTTATTTGTACATATAAGCTCCTTTTGACATAACGGAATTGTATTCCAAAGCACCGACGACCGTTTAGGTTGTTTTGTTAAAAGCTACCTTAAAAAATAAACAAAATGAAAAAGGGGAAAGCCTCTTTCTACTCTGGCACGTCTAGACGACCCTTTGGTGATTGGCAATTCACCTTTAGTTGATTATGCTAGAAGTCAATTACGAAATAAAGTAAATCCTTCTTGAGGTAACTGTTGCAGGTACTGATGCTCTTTGTGAAATTGTAACCTTCTTGTGGAGATTTCGATTTCGAATGAAAGTGCCTAATGAATAAATTCGCATGTCAACCGATGCATTCCGTATTTTTGCAGTTAGTTGATCTTGCTTCGACGTCCTGGTTGACGTAGTCCATGAGGCATCGTCCCTCAGTCCAAATGATGGGCATCGTCAGGGCTGGAAATCATTCTTGCGCAAACTTCAAGTCAAGAAAACTCTTGAGTCTAATGGACTCATAATATGAAATGAAAGTCACTCTCCGCACGTGGAACTGGCAATACTGAAAGGGCTATTATTTTTTACGGATTTACTAGATTGGGCTAAATTGCTTTTCACAAATACGAAAGACTTTTGCATTGATGCGGGGGAGTCATTGGGTTTAAAGCAAGCCTAGTCTCCTAAAAGTCAACTACAGATTTCAGTATATAATGTGAGAGACTCAGTCCTGAGAATTCATGGTCGCTGAGCTTCAATTTCGCACGATTGGCCAAGCATCATTAGCAGATTATGCTAACAGCATGAGGATGAATCGAAGACTTACTTGACCAACCCTACCGTCTTCACGGAAAATCAACTTCTTTGTTGGGCTCCTTTCATTTAATGAGATGTATTCACCCTATTTCGTGTAAGGTGATGAAGGACTGGTAGCAGAATTTTCCTACAAATGATATGAGTTGAGCTGACGTTTCCAGTGAATTTCACATAGCCTTGCTTTCCCAAAAGTTGTTCTCAT